ATGTGTGTGTGTGTGTGTGTGGGGGGGGGGGGTTAAGGCCAGAGAATAAAAGCTAGGGAGAAAAACAAAAAAAGGAACAAAAACTATAAATTATAATAAACACAAATTTCAAACAAGAGAGAGGAGAGGAGAAGAGGAATCAGTCTTACAGCCCAATTTGGAAGAAGAACATTTAAGAGACAGTATCTATCCAGAACATGATCTACCACTCTGATAAACACGAGAGAAGGACACATCCATACACACCTTCTCTTCAATCTCTTTGATTTGTCTTCTCTGCATGTCAATCTTATCTTCAAGTTCTCTGATCCTCTGTAAGTCAAATGATAAAACAGCAAATCATTCTTGAATGAAACACAAAAAGAGATATTTAGAAGACTGTCCAAGCTGATTTATTTCATACAATGAAAGTGAATAGGAACCAGGGACAGTCATCCACTTTCACTATGTGGAAGAGCAGCTTGGACAAGTACTTTTTTGGCAATTCTGCTAATGAACACATGCACAGATCCCGACCTGCTGCGCAGACTGGAGGAGCTCCATGCGCTGTTGTAGGATGAGCGTGTCGGCATGGCGACTCTGCCGCAGGATCTGTCTCCGCACTGCATCCATTGACTCGGCCAGCTTCGCTCGCTGCCTGTCACTCAAACTCTCCCCCACACAGCTGTCTGGATCCTGCTGCAGGGCAGCGTATAATGTGGCCTCCAGCTCCTGCACCCTCTAAGAACAACAAACAAGCATGTACACAATGCTTTATAAATGGCAAACGGTAATGAGTTTGGCCAGATTATATAGTGAAATTGGTTTTTAAACAGTTTCCCATCTTTTCATGAATTTATTATTGTCATATACTTTTGGTCAAACTGGCAGAACTGGCACTTGCCACAAGTATGGTACAAATTGATGTCCTGTCACTTTCTAAAAAGAAATTAAGGTACTTATTGTACAAAATAACAATTTAAAATTAATATTTTTTAAAATGATGAAGTTACTGTAATCACTAAAAATACATTACTTTCCCAATAACTGTTTTTGTCAGACTTAACCATATAACCGTTATCATGTAAGAAAAATGAGCAAAATACACTTCCTGTGATAAACTACCAATGTGACACTATTGCTTAAAGGTTTGGGCTCAGTAAGATGCTTTTAAAAACTACTTTCAACCCCAAATTTTTAAATGTTAGTGTATACAGTATATTATTTCATTTATGATAAATAGAATTTACTCACGACATTTGTTTCCAAACTAGCTATATGCTACTGAGTGACAGCTTAATTAAAGTTAAATCTGAAACACTATTGCCCAAAACACTATTTTGGTATATTTTCATTTCAGTAGAACCTTGGAATTTATTAATTTTGTGTAATTACAATGTTTATTTATTGTTTATTTTTAAATAATAAATAAAATCAAATTACATGCAAAAATATTTTATACAAATATGCAAATATGTGACCCTGGAACCTGTCTTATTAGCAGAGGTATATTTGTAGCAATAGCCAAAAATACACTGTATGGGTCAAAATTATGAATTTTTTTTAATGCCAAAAATCATTAGGATATTAAGTAAAGATCATGTTCCATGAAGATATTTTGTAAATTTCCTACCGTAAATATATCAAAACTTAATTTTTGATTAGTAATATGCATTGCTAAGGACTTCATTTGGACAACTTTAAATGTATACAACTTTACTTTTGTATTTTGACAACTTTAATTTTCTCAATATTTAGATTTTTCGCACCCTCAGATTCCAGATTGTCAAATAGTTGCATATCGGCCAAATTCGTCAGGCCCCTGAGGGCAGCCCCACCTGGGGAGGAAAGGATAACACCTCAGTATACGGTGCCCGATCCTCCTCAGTGCCCTCACGGAGAGTCACTGATAAACCTGCCACCCTCGGTGCTTCAGGGCTCAGTGAGCTCCAACGAGCAAAATTCCCAGCTGCCGCCAGGCAACGGTACGGCACGGGAGAGCTTGCCCCCTCAAGTGAGGGTTCTACAGCAGTCAGGTTGGTCGTTCCCTGCCGGTCATCCGCTTCAGGGCACCGAACTGGCTCCTCGAATAACACCGGAGGCCAGCCTCGAGAGGCTGGTTCCCTTAGTAGATTTTCTGGTAGCGTGGAAACTTCTACCAAATATCTCAAAATGGGTCCTGCAGATTGTAGAGAAGGGTTACAGAATCCAGTTCGGTTCTCGCCCGCCTCGGTTCAACGGGGTCATCCCCACACTAGTGGGCCCCGAGCAGGCTCTGGTAATGGAACAAGAAGTAGATACTCTCTTGAGGAAGGGGGCCATAGAACGTGTTCCGCCTCTCGAGAGAGCGTCCGGGTTCTACAGCCGTTACTTCACTCTCGGGGAACCATGGTTACATACGTAACCTAGAGACGTTTTGTGGTCCAGGGTCACATACTGTATATGTATCTTGGCCAAATAGTACATTTGCTTTGTTTTATATTTAGCCTCTCCTGTGGTAAGCCAACAACATTTCTTTTGCTGTCACATTGTTGAGAATAAAATCTAGCAAAAACATTTGTAAAAGTATTCACATATACACATTGATTATACGCAAGTATCCGTTTACACTGCTACATAATCTCAAAGTCCTACCAGTTGGGACTGATCGAGAGCTTGCTTCCTGTAGTCTAGTTCCTCTTCCAGGAAACCTTTCTGTTTACTGAACAGCTCCTGTTGATAACATCAGTTCACCACGGTCAAGACAGGAGCACACACAAATGATACATTTTTAATCAAGTGTCATCAAGCCTCATCTATCACTAGACCAGCTGTTAGAACAAACAGTACAACACGAATGAATGTTCTCACCTTTTCATTCTCCAGATCAATCATTTTCTGTGTCAGGGCTGCCTCAGTGCTGTCGATCTGCTTCAGCCACTGGTCACAAAGACATAACAATACAATAGAACCACTGACAAAATATAAGGCATCTTATCTTTGAGGATTTGGAGAATGAAGGAGATGATACCTTTTCACATAAAGACAGCACAGTGCCTGCTTGAATGACTGTCACTTGCTCCTCGTTTCGCAAGTTCTGCCAAAGATAAGTGTTCATTTCAACTCTCTCTTTTTATTTAAGAAACAGGAGTAATGCGTGCACATATAATGGCAAAAAACATACCCCATTATCCCCAAGAATGTCAAGCTTTTTCATGAGGTCAGGAATGATGACATCCTAAACCAAACACACATGAATATGAGGCCAACATACAGTATGTTATAATACGGTACATATATGCAACTGTGTGAAGTGTGCAATTGATTGTATTGTATATGAATTGCATAGTATAAAGTATATTGTATCATTGTATATTGTATACAATGGAGCTAAACTGACACATTCCTTCAACCACACATTACAATAGTAATTATAGTTTTGAATTAAGTACCTTAACATTAGTAACTTAGATGGTCATATGCCAGTAGTGTGTGGGTTTTACCTTGACACCCTCTTGCTGGCAGTGTAGCTGTAGGATACTGTTGTTTTCAGAGGCAGAGATTTGTAGGTTAAAGGCAGGAGAACGGCGTTCCCTCTCCTATTGGTTAAAAAAGGAATTGGTGGTGAAATATAGAGAGAAAGCATTTTTTGGGACGTAATAGTATCTGGAAAGAAACTGTAGTTTTAGAGTAACAGTTAAATAATTAAATATTTCGGGATTGTTCAACCAAAAATAAAACTTTCTTCAGATGAACACAAAAGGTAACTGTTCAACAATATCCAGACATCCCTTCAACATACAAAAAATTAGTAGTGACGGAGAGGGGCCAAAAATGACAAAATGAAGCACATAAAGACGGTCCATGTCTTCTTAAGTCATACAATTTTGGTCTTTTTATTACACAAACGCTATTATATGACTTCAAGAGACTGGGAATTTATGAACACTATGCACATTTACGGTACTTTAAGTGTATTTTTTATCATTGTTGAAGCATGACAGAGCCACTCTTGTGAAAAAGACATGCACTTAATTGTACTGAATATGCACTTGCAGTGTACTTTAAAGAATATTTTTTTTTAAAACTGTACTTGCAGATAATATATAGATGAAATAAAACACAATTTAAGTGTAATAAAAGTGAGTACACTTTCATGACTGTTTCTTCACACACTATACAATTAAAAAGTACACTTTGTAATGTAATTAAATTTTGACTTCATAGTAAATGTAAATAATGGTTTTACTGATCTTTTGTCATGATTTAAAGAAAACAATGTGCATTTAAGCGTCCAAAAACATTACATTTACTTTACACGTAAGTATATTGTTTTAAAGTATATTATGAAAATGAAAACTTTTACTATATTTTAAAAGTATGCTAAGGGCAGTTTCTTTTTACTTGCATGAAAAGATTAGCCTGGATTTTCTTCAAATATTCATTATCTGTGTTTAACAGAATAAAGAAAGTAATATGGGTTTGAAGCAACTTAAAAGGTAGTGGTGACATTTTTGACATTCACATTCTGTACATAGGATGCTTATAAAAGACTTAAACATACAGATGAAATCATATCACACTTCATACAGCATTATGGAACAGAATGTATGCAGATACTTTGAATGTTGTTGAATATTGTAGGCTCTGTGACAATCGGCTTATGTTCCTCTACTGTAAGTCACTTTGGATAAAAGTGTCTGCAAAATGCATAAATAAATGTAGAAACCACTACTGATCACATGACCTAACTACAATTAGAAGATCATCCATGTGTTCAATATTAAGGATGTTCGAAGCTGTGTGTAATAGTAATTGACTAAAAATACTTTTAAAAAATGTAGAATGCTGAAGGACTATATATATATATATATATATATATATACAGTATATACACACACACACACACATAAGAGAGAGAGAGAGATGTCTTTGTTGGTTGGGCTCCAATGACATTCAGAATATCTTCTTCTGTGTTCCGCAGAGAGAGTCATACATGTTTGGAGTATCATAAGGGTGACAGAATTTGGATTTCTGGGGGAACTGTCCCTTTAAGCACACTCAAACAACCTAATGTTTCAACTGAATTACTTAGAAACCACACGCTTTGAGTCATTTCTGTAATCAAACAGTATGAACTTAATTATATGCAGTAATTTGAACTAAGAAAGAGCTCTTTCTAATTGGCAGCTGCAGTTACCGTATACTGCAAATTGGATTCTGTAAATGAAATAACTTCTCCCAAATATTTCACAATGATCACACAGAAATATTCAACATCTCATAGAAGACGTATAAGATTGTACAAGCATACAAAAAGAGTACATGCATACATATGTGTTGGGATGAATAATGATCTGCTGACTGAAAAGTTGACATGACCATTAAATAATAGTGAATTTGTGTGTACACAAGTAAAAACACATGCAGGAAGTGCAGTCAAAAAGAAAAAATAAATAGTGAGGAGTTTCATTCAAATAAATTTTATTCCATTAAAACTTATAATTAACAAAACAATAGTGATATAAATATACAGTTCTTGAAACAGAAAAAAAAAACATATAAAATGTGTATGAAAATATCTATAGCAACATGAAAACAACTCAAAGCAGTGCCAGTTTTGTGTATGTGGGGTAAAATGGATTCATGTATGTAGCTTGTGTAGACATGAGCCGGGTTTGGCCGTCCCTGTTTGCTGCTGTGGGAGCAAAACAGATTCTCTTACTTCCAGTTCTAGAATGCGGAATTCAAGCAGCTCATTCTGATCCAGGGTGTCTTGAACTTCAGAGCGTAATCGCATTTCACACTGCTCCAGCGATACTATCTACCACACACACACACACACACACACACACACACACACACACCAGAAGAATGATAAGTGTTTATGTTTGAGTATATGTAGTTTGTAGGAGACAAGGCTATACCTTTTCTCTGAGTTCCTGGTTCACCCTGAGAAGATTTTGCTTTTCCTCCACCCATTTTGAGTCCTGCATAACATAAAGCCACACACAAACACACACACACACGCCACTACAAATTACACTACTAGAACTTAACTAACACTCCTATTATCACTAATCACACACACAATCCACACTCTCGTGTACTTGTGTCAACCCAAATAATCTCAGATCAATTATCAAATAATCAGTTTTAAACATTGAGCTCAGCATTAACAAAGAAACAGAGAAAAAAATAAAATGAGAAGTTAAAGATGGAGAAATGGCTGAGATTTATTAGATCGCATGCAGGTAAGTCCATTTCCATATTTTACAGGGAAAAAAACATCAAGAAACCAATAAGAGACAAGCAGAAAGGAAATACATGCAAGAGCAGGCTGACCAATTACAAACTGGTTCAGCCTTTAACTGAAAATTGAGTGTTTACTATTGTCATTTTGCATTATTGACACACTATTTTCCTATTTAATGCTGTAAAGCTGCTTTTGACACAATCTGTATTGTTAAAAGCATTATATAAATAAAGGTGACTTGACTTGACTGATCATTAAGCCAAAAATAACTATTTTCGGAATAGCATACTACAATACTACTCTTATTATTTATTACAACAGGGAAACAATGCATTTCCATTACCAGTGTTCCAGTGTGAACTGGAACTAACATAAACTTGATTTATAACTTTTTTGTTTTGAACAAAAATTGGAGTAAAAATACTACATTTTTATTTCTAAAATAATAGATGGTCAGCATTCACCTAATTAAACATGCAACATGATGAGATCATGCATAAACATTGTTGCACGCTACTGTTTGAACCATTTAGCAAATGCAGAATAATTCACAGTTCTGTTTCACATTATATTAAAAGGGTCATGAAACACTAAACTACGTTTTCTGAGATTTTAACAAGAGTTGTTATATCATAGAAGACACCGTTAACATCCGTTGATTTTTTAATTATAGAAGAAATCTGGTTAAGCTTTTGCCGCTATTTTCGTCTTAATCATGTTTTTGCTTTGTAAAACTTTCTGCATCACATAAATTCTCTTCCATAAATCCAAATCATTTTCATAACAATCAAAGGATGTGTGTGTATTTAATGTACAAAACCATGTATAATATATTTGTTTATTTGCATGTTTTTTTGGGAAACGTGATGCATTTAACTTAATGAAAGTTAACATGACTAAATCAGAAGCTAGATCCGTTGTGTTGTCTGTCTCCCCTCTTCTTCCTCTACTCTACAGCTTACTACAACCAGTTTTGTACCATTTTTCAGAACTGTGGAGAGAACTAATGGATGTTGAAATAACATGCAACAGTTCCAGAAGTACAAAACGAATTTTCTCCCTATAGGGGAATTTTTAATTAAAAAAAAAAAAGGATTTTTATGACTTACAAACCTTAAAGACCGACCTGTTGTGAGCTCTGAAGTTTTTAATTGATGGTATATCCTTTTGTTGAAGCCACAGGCCACATTATTTCAACATATTTTTAAAATAACCAAATTTAACAGCAGAATTTGTAGTGAGAAACTATATTTCCCATGATGCTGTTCAGAAAATCCCACCAATCACCGCACCAAAAAAGTGCTCTGGAGGGAACGCCCACTCCCATGTAGCACGCAAATGATGTAATTACATCTCCAAACACTCTAAAATACTTTATATATTTATATGTGTATGTGTGTATATATATATATATATATATATATATATACTGTACATACTGTATGCATCTATCTATCTATCTATCTACCTATAGATTTTATGATGTCGCTTCATTAAGTTTTTTCCTTCAATAAAAAAGTTACTGTCTCGTATATTTGTATTTTTGTCCGCTTTTATCATACTTCTGTAATGTAGTTGATAGAATTAATGGAACCATAATGGAACCTCTGGAACCAACGCCACTGAAAAAGTGGGTGTGCACTAATGCACTTTATAGGGTGGTTTCATGACCCTTTAAAAACAGTAAGCAGTAAGCCAGTATTCCATTCCAAGCAGATCACATCAACGAAAGAGCAGCAATATATTTGTGTCCAAGTACACCCTCAATTTTTGGTCAGCAGACAGGATGTACTGCAATTCTCAAATCTAGTGTTAAGGCAGGCTGTGAAAACAAGGTTATAGTATAAAAGGGAGACGGCAGGGCACAAATAGCATGAATATGAAACGATTACACCATAATTAACTGTGCTGATTGATGTGATTAAAATATACATTGAAAAAGCAAAGTAAAAAGCACTGGTCAAGCAAAGGAAATGTACAGAAATAACGAAAGCTGTAAAGTGTGACTGACAAAATCTGTACAGTATGACTGATCCTGTGGGGGAAGTCACATGATTTGGTGCCATATCCTCTCTTTGTAGCGCCAGCACACAAGCATGGCTGTCAGAAAGACAAGCAGCAAAGCCAATGTGACTGGAGTCAGGAGTGTCTTCTCCCCGCCCTCTTTCTTATTTACCTGCCCCTTCTCTGCCAAGCTCCGCTCCAGGTCGGCAATCCGTGCCTGACAGCCAATCAACTCCGTCTGCAGCTGCTCCCGTGTCTGACGGACAGAGCACAGAGCCAATCAAAGAGCCAGCCTAGGGCATATGTACGCATTAACAATCTATATTGGCTTCTTTTGAATTGCAAAAGAATTTCAAATGACAAATGTTTGAAATTTTGGTAGCTTTTTTCTTTTTTTGAGGCAGGAATTTTCGGCCATGCTTGCTACAATGCTGGCTGTGATCAACAGATGAGTGGTATTTCAGTGTGGGTAAAGGAGATTCTGAAAAGGTCTTGGAATTCAATTCATTTCAATTGTATTTAAACAGCGGCACGATTTGATTCAGATCTAAAAATTATCACAAAAAAATAATAATAATGGTAAGACAAGGATCTTTCAGAATGTCCAGTGTTGGTGGGGTTAAACATGCGTCTGTGGAGTTGCTGTTAAATGGACCATCAAAATAAAGTGAAACCGAATTGTCATTTATAGGTGAACCATTATAAGGATAAAGCTAGTTAAGTAGTTCCTGAAAATCATAAACACAACTCAAGACAAACTTTAGACAAGTTTGTCTGATTAATATTTCGGTTATTATTGTGCTATCTATTTTTTTGGTTACGATTTTGCTTGCCTGCAGTGGGAAAATATTTTTGAAGACAAATTTTTATTTTTTGGGTGAACTACCCCTTTAAGACCAAGCACTGAATCAGGTAGTACTGGGATGCATGATTTCAGATTGTTCAAACACATCTGGTTTTCCAGAAGATTTACACAGAAATTTATTCTGCTTGTGTATCATAAAGGCCCATTATATTTAATACAATTAAAGTGCATTCCTGTAAAAGTGTCTGTAATTATCATTATCATGAATCACATCGTTTCACAATACACATTGTCAAGTCAAGTCACCATTATTTATATAGCGCTTTTTACAATGCAGAATGTGTCAAAACAGCTTTACAGTATTAAACAGGGAAATAGTGTGTCGAAATAGTGTGCCGTTCTCCTCTGGCCAGACGAGACCAGCAGTTTAATTCTATGCTGCACCAAAGTCAGATTGTGCAGAGGATTGTATCATAATACACACTGTTTCAAAGCAGCATTACAGGAAATCATGATGTTATTGTTTATAATGTTTTAATACATTAATTATAGTCAAATTTAGCACATAAAATAGATTACATTTTCTATGTGTTTTATATTGCTTTACATGAGCACACTGTATATATACAGATAAAGCTAGATATAATACATACCCGACTTTATACAGCTGTGCGATAATACAGTTTACATTGTGCAACAATAAAATGGTTGTTGTAAACAAACAACTGTTTTCAGTTAGTAACAGTTTCAGTCAGTAATCTAAAATCAAACTTAAAACAAATCAAATTTGTGCCTAATTATTATGACATTTTTAGTGAAGAAAATCGTATTTAATGAACAGCATATTCGAGGGAGCTGAGAACACTACATGAACACATTGTTATGGGATCGTCTTCATGGTGCAGTTAATGACTCGATTATAATCCCACTCCTCGTTAACTAGCTCTGGCTATCAGTAAACAACAACATGAAGGTAGGGGGCCACTTATGAACAAGAGAACTGCTGAGACGCCTCATCATGGTCCCTTGAGCACAACATCTGACCAAATAACAAGCCTAATTCAAATGAATGCTCTGAATTAAACAAACACTGTAGTTTGACACCATGTTTACACTCTCCCAGGCTGCCAAATTTATGAAATGAATATGCAGACTACAGTTTTATACTGTCAGAAGATCATCGAAATGTAAGGGTGGTGTTAATGATTGCCATGGTACTGCTATGTGGCTGCGAAGTTGTTTTCGCTGTATTGCTATGTGGTTGCTCAGAATTCAATTTAAGTACTCGTAATAAAATTTTCATGGACAGTAAGTAAGTAGCTGTACTGGGCTTTAATAAGCTAAATTATTTGATGTATTATCCATGTCAAACGTGCAGAGCAAGTTACACATACTAGCAAATCACACTAAAAAACGGGGTGAATTTTTTTTTTTTTTATTAAAATCTTCTCAGGAACTTTGATGGACAGCACAGGAAAATATGATTTAAGAGACAGACGTAAACAGGATTAAGATTCTAACTGGTGCATTTGGTTTGGATGTGCACTACCATTCAAAAGTATAGGGTCAGTAATTTTTTATTTACTGTCATTTTTAAGGAATGTAATGTGTCATTGCTGAATAAAAGCATTAATTTCTTTCTTAAAAAAAAAAAAATCAGTAAAGACATTTACAGTGTAATGTTACAAAAGATTTCCATTTCAAATAAAAGCTGTTCTTTTGAACTTTTTTATTTATCAAAGAATCCTGAAAAAGTGCATCATGGTTTCCACAAAATTATTAAGAAGCACACCTGTTTTCAACATCGATAATAATAATAAGAAATGTGTCTTGAGCAACAAATTAGCATTTAAGAATTATTTCTAAAGGATCATGTGACACAGAAAACAGTAATTGCTGCTAAAAATTCAGTTCTGCCCTCACAAGAATAAATTACATTATAAAACACAAAACGGGTATTTTAAATTGTAATAATATTTTACTGTTTTTACTGCATTTTTGATCAAGTAAATGCAGCCTTTGTGAGTATAAGAGAGGGAAAAAAAATCTTACTGACCCCAAACTTTTGAACGGAGGTGTAGGTGAGCTGCAAGAGTGTTTAGTGCAGGTATTAAGGTTTGTAAAATAATTTATTACATGACATACATCTTCAAGATCCTCTTCAGGGGTGGCAGGGGTGTGATCTGTACGGTCGGTGTTATATGATGTCAGAGATGACGTTTCAGAATCGACAGATTCTTCGTCAAATCCAAAATATGTCTCCACAACATGCCTCTGAAAAAGAAAGAAACCAGTGCTTAAATATTATACACATATTCACATTAAACTAGTGTAATAAAATCACTTACTAACCTAACTAATGTCCAATTTAACTTTCAGACAATATCCGCAAGTAGCCTATACCAAAAATGAACATGCTGTAACTATCTGCACAGTACAGTTTGCCGCTCCTCTCTTCGGTTTACACAGATAAAAATCCACCCACAGGAATTATGATGGTAATGCATGACCAGTAACAGCAGCACCACGGAAAAATGAATGCGAGTGATTTAACAAAAATATGACCCTGACCGTTTCTGCTTTTAAACCTTTTGGAATGTCTTACATTAAGTGCATTACTCTAAATGTTCATTTTTACAAAACGAGGGAGTCAACATTATTGTCATTACTACCCACATATGCTGTGAACACAGTGTGACTTGTTTCTAAATCCAGAATAATCATTAAAAAAAAAATGCTAATTTTCATGGACCGTACAGTATGCAACTGACACCCAGATGTCCTTTGAATACACTACGCAATCGCTCTTACCATCGTGTTTGTAGGTCATCTCCTGACAGCCAGAGAAATACAGACACACCAGAGCACACAGACACAGGAACATGGAGAGATACAGCACCAGCAGGAAGTACTCTGGCATACTGGATGTGTATATGTGCTCCTCAGTCCAGTGTCATGGTATGCGGTATATCCTTTTAACCTCTTTAACCAGCATCATCTTCCTCAGTGTTCACAGGAAATGAGAGTTACAAATGTGTTTTAAAGCCTGTGTTACAGTAATGTCTCCACTGACTCCACCTCCATAGCAACGGTTCTTGAGAACGAACAACTAAACCCCACCCCACAGCACCACAAACACACACAGGTTTACTTCATTAAAATAAGAATGTGCAGTACTATATACAGTATAAAGCTAATCATAAAAAGCTTAGATACTGATTATTTCATATACTAGTGACCCACACTCAAACATTTTTAGAATAAAATAAAACATTATTTCATGTATTTAGTAGTATTTATTTTTTTAATTCATGACATCCTCAAATGTTCCCAAAGGGGGGTTTTGTCAGATTTAGCTAACAAAAAATGAATAATTTTGTATTCAAAGTACAGTGAAGTAAACCCAAACACACGCAAACTCTGAAGGACCCTAGGACAGTTAAATCACAGCTGCGTTAACAGACTTTTGTGTTGTGAAAATAGGGTTTTTAGTTGTTTGGATGACTGGCAAAAACAGAAATCAAAGACTGTTTAAGTGATGTTTAGCTGGTGAAAGCATGAGAAAGAAAAAAGAACTTGGCTTGACTCAGAGGTCTCGAGAGGCCAATTAATGTGCCAATGTAACCAGCACACACATGAAGAAACACACACACACACACACACACACACACACACACACACACACACCTCAGAGGAGACAGTTGCTTAGTGACAGTGTCCATATGCTTTAGCAAAAAGAGAAAGTAACCAGAGCAAAACTTCCATCAAAGAGACTCCAAATATGGTTCAATATAATTCTATGAATGAGAGGATCAGCTCACCCTGGGCAACTTGATGTTTTTTCGCCTGTTCTTTTTGTTGATTATCAGCCTGTCCCGTTCCTGAAAGCACATCCAGACATCACGTTAAATAAGTTGTTAACAATACAATACAAAAACATACAACTTAGAATCTTCATTCAGCAGAACATTTAAAGAGTGAGTTTCTTTTCACATTGAATCAAGTATGAGTGTTACAGTCCAACAAGTTTACACTACTGTGCAAAAGCTTTTTTTAAGTCTCTTATGCTCACCAAGGCTGCATTTACTTGATGAAAAATACGGTAAAAACAGTAATATTGAGAAATATTATTACAATATAAATAGCTGTTTTAACATATTTTAAAATGTAATTTATTTCTGTGATGGCAAAGCAGAATTTTCAGCAGCCGTTACTCTTCAGTGTCACATGATCCTTCAGAATTCATTCTAATATGCAGATTTGTTACTCAAGAAACATTTATTACTGTCAGTGATGAAACCATTGTACTGCTTTTTTTTTGGGAAAACGTGATATTTGTATTATTTTTTTGCTGTCACTTTTTTGTCAATTTAATGCACTCTTGCTGAATAAAGGTATTTAAAAAAACTTTTGAATATCTTTTCAAAAAATGTAATAATAGTGTATGTAAACATTGTCACATGCAATACTGCTGTATTGCTGGCAATACTGTAATATCAGCGTGCATATTAACAGAAGTCACTAGGGAGGGGAAGAGAAAATGAGTGACGCAGTAATTCATTTCTAATTAGGCTTTGCCTTAATGAAGTAAACAAACTAATTAACAGACACAGCCCTGATTACCAATCACAAATAATTACAGGGTGAGACCAATTAGAGAATAAGCACACACAGTACACACACACTAACACAAACACAGATTATAAGATAAAAACCAGGCAAGGACACAGAAAGAATATGTATATATGTAACTAGATTTAAAGATAACATGAAATCAAAATGGACAATCTTTACTTTTTAAAATGAATTTCCTGGTTTTATTGTGTGCATTGAAATGTTAATTTTCATAACCTGTAACCAAAATGTAATATCTTCTGAAACTTTCTTATTTGCTCATGTAACCAAAGCTGTGTGGGTGGGGTAAAAAACACTCACCTATTAATGGTTTTTCAGAAATTACCTTTCATGTAGTGTGTAATATAGCAGTTTGTGGATGTAAAAGGTCTGCAAAGTGCATGACCAATGATATTTCATTCCCATGAGAGTGACGCAGTAATTCATTTCTAATTAGGCTTTGCCTTAATGAAGTAAACAAACTAATTAACAGACACAGCACTGATTACCAATCACAAATAATTACAGGGTGAGACCAATTAGAGAATAAGCACACACAGTACACACACACTAACACAAACACAGATTATAAGATAAAAACCAGGCAAGGACACAGAATATGTATGTATATATGTAACTAGATTTAAAGATAACATGAAATCAAAATGGACAATCTTTACTTTTTAAAATGAATTTCCTGGTTTTATTGTGTGCTTATCATTGAAATGTTAATTTTCATAACCTGTAACCAAAATGTAATATCTTCTGAAACTTTCTTATTTGCTCATGTAACCAAAGCTGTGTGGGTGGGGTAAAAAACACTCACCTATTAATGGTTTTTCAGAAATTACCTTTCATGTAGTGTGTAATATAGCAGTTTGTGGATGTAAAAGGTCTGCAAAGTGCATGACCAATGATATTTCATTCCCAAATGAAAGAACTGATTCTGAACTGCCTGAAACCAGTCCTCAGTAATTCCAGTCTTATTTCCTGCACAAACCAACGTAGGTTTGTAACAAATCTGCATAATGGTCTTAGAAGACACTATTTTCTGCGCCGCAAAGGTGAAACCACTTTGCATGTAGTCCCAAAGGATGAGGATGTTGAGGAGTCAAAATGTATTATACAGTAACAGCAGTATAACTCCAACCTCTCATTGTGTTCCCGTCATTTTACTCTCGACTGCTTCTCAAACCTTGCAAATTTCAATGCGGGATTTGCAAAACACTTATTCCTTAAAGATGGAGCTGTACACATTTTATTTTGACCATCTCGTGCCTCTGGAACACAGCCTGTAAGTATGATTTATTATTTATGCATATATTTTCTTAGTGTTCAAAATGCATAGTTTTGTGTGCACTGCTGTAACCCTCTGCCAACTCACACTTTTGTCTTGAATTTCTTCTGCTCTGAAATTCTAATTGCAAATATCAACATGTGTGTTTATGGCTGACGGAAACAAACAAACCTGCGTGAGCTCATCAATAACACCACGCTGCTCGCTGATTTGCAAGCGCAGATACTCGACTTCCTGTTGCTCGTGGGCGTGACTCAGGTCCGTTAGAGAGGTGTGTCTCTTCAGCCCACCCGGCTGCAAGTTCTGCTGGGATTTCTCTTTCTGAGGAAACACAGCGACAAAGATGTACTCTATAAACATTGTGTGTTTAAGTACAAATGTAACAAATGTTAAACGTTCATTAAATTAAATCTGAATAAAAATGTTTATCAGCATGTAACAAATCTGAAACGAATGTTGTTTTCTGATGATGTGACAATAGCTGAGCCAATCAGACCCTGATTATTAAAACCATGTCCTGTCCAACATTATTTCCCATAATTTTCAGTTTTCCCTTAACAGCACACCTGTTCTGCGTTCTCTCTGCTGAGTGTCTTCAGTTTGTCCTCCATGCGCTGTAGAGTCTGCTGCAGCTCTTCATTATTTTTATTCAGCCGTTTATTCCTTTCCATGAGAGGCTTTATCTCTGCATCTGTTTCTCGCACTCGTTTCAGCTGTATGACAGAGAGAGAGAGAGACTGATCTACATACAGAATGAAAGACACCTGTACTAAAGTCCAATTGGGATTTCCATCATAATTTGGAAGCTATCATAAAGGATCCTTGTGTGAGAATTATCTTACAGATTTTTACAACACAAAATACAAATCTTTTGAGAACTAACTGTGTAATCATTAATTGCTAGGAATAATTAACAAAGGAGAAAATGCAGGTTAAATATAAATATATATATATATATATTTATATTTAACCTGCATTTTCTCCTTTGTTAATTATTCCTAGCAATTAATGATTACACAGTTAGTTCTCAAAAGATTTGTATTTTGTGTTGTAAAAATCTGTAAGATAATTCTCACACAGTAGGATCCTTTATGATAGCTTCCAAATTATGATGGAAATCCCAATTGGACTTTAGTACAGGTGTCTTTCATTCTGTATGTAGATCAGTCTCTCTCTCTCTCTCTCTCTGTCATACAGCTGAAACGAGTGCGAGAAACAGATGCAGAGATAAAGCCTCTTATGGAGAAGAATAAACGGCTGAATAAAAAGAATGAAGAGCTGCTGCAGACTCTACAGCGCATGGAGGACAAACTGAAGACACTCAGTAGAGAGAACGCAGAACAGGTGTGCTGTTAAGGGAAAAACGGAAAATTATGGGAAATAATGTAGGACAGGACATAATTTTAATAATCAGGATTTGATTGTCTCAGCTGTTGTTACATTATCAGAAAGGAAAATTTGTCTCCGAAGGCAAGGCAAGTTTATTTATATAGCACATTTCAAAATATCTTAAAATTCTTAAATCAAGATACTTTTACTAGATAAGCCAAATGACTTAAGATATTTAGTCGTGAGAATTATCTTACAGATTTTTACAACACAAAATACAAATCTTTTGAGAACTAACTGTGTAATCATTAATTGCTAGGAATAATTAACAAAATATAAAATGCAGGTTAAATATAAATATATATATATATATATTTATATTTAACCTGCATTTTATATATATATATATAAAATACATTAAATAAGGTTTGGTACTTGATATAAAATCTGGGTCCTGAAGCAAAACCAGTTGAAAATGGGAAAATTGAAAAACATTGTTCCCAATAATCTTTCACTATTACAGGTTTAACATCATGTAATTTTACTGCAAAATACTGTCAAATGTATGTTTTTAGAAGGAAAAAGTATTATTTACCATATAAAAAACAACTGAGAAAAACAAAGTTCCCTGTGTGACACACCACATATGATTACATTTTAAGTTTTGTTTCTTCATATTTATGTTAACAGTAATGCAAAGTTTTTTCATTAACACCCTGATGGTGTTTTGTATGTATCATGTGCATCAGCTATACGTGAGTACTGGCCATGTTTATGAACAGGGCCATATGCTTTGGATTCATCATGTGGCTTTCTATTGTACCACCTGGTTATCAGTACATTTTAAGGTACAAAGCATTTTGGTAGTTCAGGTAGCTTTGTATATTAACATTTTATCACTTAATGAAATACTCGGTTATAAATTGTAAAATATACAGGCACCGGTATTCCATCCTATAACAACTGAAACATTGTCATAGTACTTTTACACAGAATTTTTGGCAACCACAGCTGCCATTTTTTTACTGTACATTTAACAGGATATTTTACAGCTCATATAAGATCCTATATGATTTTTGTCCGTAGTTTGTTGAGAGTGTGTATATGTATATGTACCAGTTCGTTTCTCTCATCTGAAAGCAGGGTGTTCCTATCCTCTAGTTTCCTGATGACTGCCTGCAGCTCAGCAATCTTCAGCTGAAATCTCCTTACATCCCTCTCATCCATGTCCTATGAATGGATAAACACTATTTATGTGATGGTGTGAAGTTCAGCATGCAGGAAAAAGCTCTCTGCCATGTTAGTCCAGCTCTAATGAGCGTTTATGTTCCTGATGATATAAAAGCTTTTTATCAGCCATTTCTGAATGCAGAACAGAACGAACCTGGTTATTGACAGAGTCTGAGTTTTCCCCGAGAGACGGCGCCACCTCTCTCTTCGGACTCCCATAATGCCGCTCTGATTCCTCCTTCTGCAGCAGTAGACGCTGTGTCTGTCCCGCCTGCACTCCCAGCTCTTTTTCCAGTGACTGCACCACACGGTCTCTGCTCTTCAACTCGTCCATCTGACACAAACACAAACATACATCGGAGTGCATGCTTTTTGTGGTCCATTTCACAAAATGTACTTCCTTCAGGTCTAGCTGCTGTACGAATAGCAAAAACAGCATGGAGGTAATTCCTAGTTGTGCACAGATATAGAAACTTTAAGGTTTTGGGCCAGTAAGATCTTTGTTTTTAGATTTAGATTGTTGACAGTAAAGGCATTTACAATGTTACAAAATATTTCTATTTAAAATAAATGCTGTTATTTTGAACTTTTTATTCTTTGAAGAATCCTGAAAAAAGGGTATCACAGTGTCCACAAAAATATGAAGCAGCATAACTGTTTTCAATATCGAGATCATAAGAAATGTTTCTTGAGCACCAAATCAACATATTAGAATGATTTCTTAAGGATCATGTGACACTGAAGACTGAAAGCTGAATAAATTAAATACATTCAAATAGAAAACAGATATTTTAAATTGTAATAATATTTCACAATATAAACAAAAACACTTAAAAAAAAAACACTGACCCCACCTTTTGAATGGTAGTGTACATAAACTGTGTTTAATAATTGGTGTATATTAAATAATAAGCTTTTGGTGTGGCCAATAATTCATTTTTTTTTTTTCAAAACTGTATAAAAATGAATAATATAACTTTCTTAATGCCAAACAGATCTCTATTTTTTTTTTTTTAAATCATCCTTTGATGTATTGAACACATCCAGTTTTCTTCATTATAAGGGTGCTAATATCAATTCGGTGCAAAAATAAAAATAAAAAAAACTAAAATCCTGTCTATCTGTCCTCTGTCATAAGAAACACAATTCATGACTGATTGATATAAGTAATGAGACATTTTGAGGGCTTTTATACATTAATATCAGCTTATCATTAATATCAGCTGATATTAGAAAAATGATGCATGTCAAATGTCAAACAGAGACAATTATATAAGTATGTATAAACATTTGTAGGTTGATTCCCCCCAAAAGGTGTAAACCAGAGCAGCCACACTGAATCAACCAATTGCCTGAGACTGGACTGAGACAGCCATTATTTTTACAATTTCATGTGGCGACGTTTTTAGATAACTCCATCCATCTTTCTTACCAGTCTCCGGATTTCCCTCTCACTCTCGCGTTTGATTCTCTGGATCTCCTCCTGATGAGCTTGATGGGCCACTCTGAGATCGGCAGCTTTGGCTCTGTCGGCCTGCACAGCATTGGAGAGTGCCTCCTCTGCCTGCCGCCGTGACGTCTTCGCCTCCTGCAGCTCCTGCGTGAGCCTGAGTTTCTCTGCCTCGTAGCTCCTGCGGGCCTCCTCTCGTGCCTCCTCCTTCAGGGCACTACGTAGCTCGCTGCTGGCTCCGTCCCGTAAAATACACACCAGCGCCTGAAGCCGGGCCAGTTCTGTCTCGCGGAGACGTGCCGCCCGGGCCAGCTCGGTCTCGTGTTGCCGAGACAGGCTCTCTCGTGTGGCCGCCACCTCTCGCTGCTTCTCCTCATGGAGCTTGACGCGGAGTTCAGTGAGAGCGACCGAGTGCTTGTGCTGCTCAGTCTCTCGTTGGGCCCGTAACTCTTGCAAACGTTCCCGTAATTTACCCACCTACAAGATTGAGAGACAAGGTTATTTCACAGGACATTAACCAAGGTGAATATTGGCATTCACATTACGGTTCTCGTAATGTCACAAGTTCACAAAGACTTTCTATTGCTTCTTCAAATCTGTGATTACTAAGGCATTAATAAAATAATGTATTTTAAAAATTTTTTATTGAGATTCATGGGGTGAATTTCCAATTGTATGTCAGATACCAATCTTTGGCATTAATGTATTTAAACAATTATAGTTTTTAACATGTAAATGTCTCCAAAAAGACAAAAATGATCTGTCCAAATCATTTACACAGATATATACTCTCAATGAACAGACTGAAATAGGATATATTTTATTTTAAGGTGTCATTGTAACAGTGTAATTACACAAATAAGTACTGAATAAGTACTGAATAATATTAATTAACTACATGTTGGTTTAGGATTAGTTACTTGATATAATCCTATAATTTACTATTATTACTATGTTACGTACATGTAGCATGTGTAACTATGTCACCTTAAAATAATGTGTTAACCTGAAATATTTTAGAGCCTCGGACCTTCAGGTCATACAACTGCAGAGTGAAAGAACCTGATAGGCCTCTCAGCTCATCAGGAATGAGTCAGATACCTAGGTTTCATTCCAAACATGATGAAACAATTAGATATTATGCTGTCTACAGCTGGAATAAGCTTCCAGAAGTCAGATGTGCCCCAAACGCAGCCCGATTTAAAGGGGTCATAGGATGCGATTTCAAGTTTTCCTTTCTCTTTGGAGTGTTACAAGCTGATTGTGCATAAATAAGATCCCTGAAGTTGCAAAGACTAAAGTCTCAAAACCAAAGAGATATTCTTTATCAAAGTTAAGACTCTGCCAGGCCCCCCTAAAACGGCTCGTTCCAACACGCCCCCACATATCTACCTCACTATGTGGAAATATTAGCATAATGCCGCCCAAATGTGCACGCAAAGAAAGAAGGCGTGGCAGTTAGTGTTGAAGCAGCCATGTCAGAGAGACGCTGTGTGTTTCTAGGCGAAAGCAAAAGCACTTTATTTGGCCTTCCGAAAGTAGATGCATTTAGGAATCTTTAAGAACACTTACAACAGAACAGCAATGCATTTTATGGACGACCGTTTCATGAACCTAGGAGAGGAGATAATTCTGAATCTGCTATGACAATCTGGCGCTTCGCTGCCATTTTTTTACTGTACATTTAACAGGATATTTTACAGCTCATATAAGATCCTATATGATTTTTGTCCGTAGTTTGTTGAGAGTGTGTATATGTATATGTACCAGTTCGTTTCTCTCATCTGAAAGCAGGGTGTTCCTATCCTCTAGTTTCCTGATGACTGCCTGCAGCTCAGCAATCTTCAGCTGAAATCTCCTTACATCCCTCTCATCCATGTCCTATGAATGGATAAACACTATTTATGTGATGGTGTGAAGTTCAGCATGCAGGAAAAAGCTCTCTGCCATGTTAGTCCAGCTCTAATGAGCGTTTATGTTCCTGATGATATAAAAGCTTTTTATCAGCCATTTCTGAATGCAGAACAGAACGAACCTGGTTATTGACAGAGTCTGAGTTTTCCCCGAGAGACGGCGCCACCTCTCTCTTCGGACTCCCATAATGCCGCTCTGATTCCTCCTTCTGCAGCAGTAGACGCTGTGTCTGTCCCGCCTGCACTCCCAGCTCTTTTTCCAGTGACTGCACCACACGGTCTCTGCTCTTCAACTCGTCCATCTGACACAAACACAAACATACATCGGAGTGCATGCTTTTTGTGGTCCATTTCACAAAATGTACTTCCTTCAGGTCTAGCTGCTGTACGAATAGCAAAAACAGCATGGAGGTAATTCCTAGTTGTGCACAGATATAGAAACTTTAAGGTTTTGGGCCAGTAAGATCTTTGTTTTTAGATTTAGATTGTTGACAGTAAAGGCATTTACAATGTTACAAAATATTTCTATTTAAAATAAATGCTGTTATTTTGAACTTTTTATTCTTTGAAGAATCCTGAAAAAAGGGTATCACAGTGTCCACAAAAATATGAAGCAGCATAACTGTTTTCAATATCGAGATCATAAGAAATGTTTCTTGAGCACCAAATCAACATATTAGAATGATTTCTTAAGGATCATGTGACACTGAAGACTGAAAGCTGAATAAATTAAATACATTCAAATAGAAAACAGATATTTTAAATTGTAATAATATTTCACAATATAAACAAAAACACTTAAAAAAAAAACACTGACCCCACCTTTTGAATGGTAGTGTACATAAACTGTGTTTAATAATTGGTGTATATTAAATAATAAGCTTTTGGTGTGGCCAATAATTCATTTTTTTTTTTTCAAAACTGTATAAAAATGAATAATATAACTTTCTTAATGCCAAACAGATCTCTATTTTTTTTTTTTTAAATCATCCTTTGATGTATTGAACACATCCAGTTTTCTTCATTATAAGGGTGCTAATATCAATTCGGTGCAAAAATAAAAATAAAAAAAACTAAAATCCTGTCTATCTGTCCTCTGTCATAAGAAACACAATTCATGACTGATTGATATAAGTAATGAGACATTTTGAGGGCTTTTATACATTAATATCAGCTTATCATTAATATCAGCTGATATTAGAAAAATGATGCATGTCAAATGTCAAACAGAGACAATTATATAAGTATGTATAAACATTTGTAGGTTGATTCCCCCCAAAAGGTGTAAACCAGAGCAGCCACACTGAATCAACCAATTGCCTGAGACTGGACTGAGACAGCCATTATTTTTACAATTTCATGTGGCGACGTTTTTAGATAACTCCATCCATCTTTCTTACCAGTCTCCGGATTTCCCTCTCACTCTCGCGTTTGATTCTCTGGATCTCCTCCTGATGAGCTTGATGGGCCACTCTGAGATCGGCAGCTTTGGCTCTGTCGGCCTGCACAGCATTGGAGAGTGCCTCCTCTGCCTGCCGCCGTGACGTCTTCGCCTCCTGCAGCTCCTGCGTGAGCCTGAGTTTCTCTGCCTCGTAGCTCCTGCGGGCCTCCTCTCGTGCCTCCTCCTTCAGGGCACTACGTAGCTCGCTGCTGGCTCCGTCCCGTAAAATACACACCAGCGCCTGAAGCCGGGCCAGTTCTGTCTCGCGGAGACGTGCCGCCCGGGCCAGCTCGGTCTCGTGTTGCCGAGACAGACAGGCTCTTGTGGCCGCCACCTCTCGCTGCTTCTCCTCATGGAGCTTGACGCGGAGTTCAGTGAGAGCGACCGAGTGCTTGTGCTGCTCAGTCTCTCGTTGGGCCCGTAACTCTTGCAAACGTTCCCGTAATTTACCCACCTACAAGATTGAGAGACAAGGTTATTTCACAGGACATTAACCAAGGTGAATATTGGCATTCACATTACGGTTCTCGTAATGTCACAAGTTCACAAAGACTTTCTATTGCTTCTTCAAATCTGTGATTACTAAGGCATTAATAAAATAATGTATTTTAAAAATTTTTTATTGAGATTCATGGGGTGAATTTCCAATTGTATGTCAGATACCAATCTTTGGCATTAATGTATTTAAACAATTATAGTTTTTAACATGTAAATGTCTCCAAAAAGACAAAAATGATCTGTCCAAATCATTTACACAGATATATACTCTCAATGAACAGACTGAAATAGGATATATTTTATTTTAAGGTGTCATTGTAACAGTGTAATTACACAAATAAGTACTGAATAAGTACTGAATAATATTAATTAACTACATGTTGGTTTAGGATTAGTTACTTGATATAATCCTATAATTTACTATTATTACTATGTTACGTACATGTAGCATGTGTAACTATGTCACCTTAAAATAATGTGTTAACCTGAAATATTTTAGAGCCTCGGACCTTCAGGTCATACAACTGCAGAGTGAAAGAACCTGATAGGCCTCTCAGCTCATCAGGAATGAGTCAGATACCTAGGTTTCATTCCAAACATGATGAAACAATTAGATATTATGCTGTCTACAGCTGGAATAAGCTTCCAGAAGTCAGATGTGCCCCAAACGCAGCCCGATTTAAAGGGGTCATAGGATGCGATTTCAAGTTTTCCTTTCTCTTTGGAGTGTTACAAGCTGATTGTGCATAAATAAGATCCCTGAAGTTGCAAAGACTAAAGTCTCAAAACCAAAGAGATATTCTTTATCAAAGTTAAGACTCTGCCAGGCCCCCCTAAAACGGCTCGTTCCAACACGCCCCCACATATCTACCTCACTATATGGAAATATTTGCATAATGCCGCCTAAATGTGCACGCAAAGAAAGAAGGCATGGTTTCAGTAACAGCAGTTAGTGTTGAAGCAGCCATGTCAAGGAGACGCTGTGTGTTTCTAGGCGAAAGCAAAAGCACTTTATTTGGCCTTCCGAAAGTAGATGCATTTAGGAATCTTTAAGATCACTTACAACAGAACAGCAATGCATTTTATGGACGACCGTTTCGTGAACCTAGGAGAGGAGGTAATTCTGACTTTGCTATGACAATCTGGCACTTCTGAATCAGCTACTGTAAGTATGTTTTGTTATTAGTTTAAGTATTTGCAATTGACTGTTCAAATATCTATGTCACTATGTGGAAATATTTGCATAATGCGGCCCAAATGTGCACGCAAAGAAAGAAGGCGTGGTTTCAGTAACCGCAGTTAGTGTTGAAGCAGCATGTCAGGGAGACGCTGTGTGTTTCTAGGCGAAAGCAAAAGCACTTTATTTGGCCTTCCGAAAGTAGATGCATTTAGGAATCTTTAAGATTACTTACAACAGAACAGCAATGCATTTTATGGACGACCGTTTCGTGAACCTAGGAGAGGAGGTAATTCTGACTTTGCTATGACAATCTGGCGCTTCTGAATCAGCTACTGTTTTGTTATTAGTTTAAGTATTTGCTATTGACTGTTCAAATGCGGTGTTTTGCGCATTGTGTGTGTGTGTGTGTGTGTGCGCGAGAGAGAGAGAGAGAGAGAGGAGAGACAGGGTCACATCACAGTGGCGTCAGCTGTCTTAACCGTGGCTTGTGTACTGCATGTCACGCGACTGTGTTGCCCTTTCGGGCTTGAACTGATGGTAAAACTAACGACATTATTAACTGTCTTGATATTTACTTTGAAAGCTGACGCTCGTGATTATGGTAAGGGGCGTTACATTTCCTACGAGTGCTTGCGGTGTTCGGCCAATCGCAATGCACTGGGTCAGCTGGCCAATCAGAGCAGACTGCTCTTGTCGGAAGGAGGGACTTTGTAGAAAACGAAGCGTTTGAGAGAGGCGGGGCATAGAGGACCTACAATAATGTACAGTATTTGAAAAATAATGTGTTTTTTGAACATTAAAGCATGTCAACATATTCTGTTACACCAAATACACAAAATAATGATCTTTAAAAAAGCATCATATGACCCCTTTAAGTCCAGACTGAAGACACTGTTTTTCCCTGTGCTTGCACCACTTTTCGTATATCCAAATGAATCCAATCCGATTTCAGATTCTGAAAGTTCTGTTTATATGAGCCCTAGACTGAAATCTGATTCACATTTTCTTTTACATGTATTCTGGACAAAACATCAGCACGTGAGCAGTGCCCAGTCGTCGTGCTGAAAACTGGAGAAAGCCTGTGCATGAGTATAATTCTCATTTTGCCTTGATGTCAGACCTAAAAGGAAGGCTGACAAACATGTCAGAAGTGCTTTTTTTTAGTAAATATTTTCTCCTTCTCTGACCAAAACGTAAGATTTAAATAAAAAATACTGTAGGCCTACATAAAACGTATGTAAACAGATCTTTTAATAAAGGTTTCTAGTAAAAATGCGTATCATGGAATTGCGCATACGTGCAGGGTATTTTTGTAGACAGACTTATTTAAGCATTAACATGCTTATTTTTTCCTATCAGTCAGATTATTTCGGATCTACATCACCCCTTTTAAGCTCAATCAGACAGACTGAGGTGTTTATATGAAGGTGCTTCAATCTGATTGAGCCATCCGATTATGTTGGTGCATGTAAACGTAACTACTGATCTCACTCCTTTTAGACATAGATTTTATTTTCCTTTTATTTGTTTCATGTTTTCTTGGTGATTTCCAAGTTAAGTATCTTTATGTATTTTATTTTTAAGTTAATTTATTTATAATTAACTTAATATGCCAATGTGTAGCACTTTCAATTACCATTGTGTGTGAAATGTGTTAAGGCAATTAACTTGCCTTGTGTAAAGTAGGGCATAATTAGAAAACGTATATTGACTATTAAAATGTCCATTAGTCTCCCAGACCTCCATCCTCTAAATTTACTGGCCGGATTTGTGCCTAGCTTTTTGGCACTTGCCACATATTCTCTGCACTTTGTTTCCACCATTAGCAAATGTCTTCATATTCCGTCAATATTTTATAACCTTCAGGGTTTTATAATGGTTTAGAGAGAGGGACAAAACGTAGTGACCAAGCAATGAGCTAGAAGGAATGAACTGTACCAAACTGGTTTTGCATTAAGCTCTGTGTAAAAACATTGTTTGATTTCATTTATTTTACCAGGTCTAAATCCATGCTGGCATCATTTGAATATGTGAAATAATTCCCTTCGACTCCATAAACGGTCACATTTATCCTGGCTTTCCAGCAGTGTTCAGCTGTCCCATTGTTTGACGCTTCCAGAGGGTGTGGCATGTTTTCTCTTCTACTCATTATGGCCATGAAGCAATCACTGGCACAAATTACTGCTCTGACTGGTGATGGATTTTGGGATATATGATTCATGAGAGGATAAATCTTCTGAATCGGTTTAGATATTTGTAGCCTGAACAGCAAGAAGAATGCATGCAAATCTTATTTAAATGACATTCTTGTATGATTTACAGTCTCTGATTACAGTTTTACAACATGAGTTTTAGGAAATGTGATTCAGTCTGACCGTTTTTCATTTATTTTTCCTCATTGAGCAATGCAGATGTAATGCCAAATATAAATTCATCACTCAGTTTTCATATAGTGAACTATTTAAAATACACTGGTAAATAGTGAATGCGTAAATTTTTTGAGCGATTATGGACGCTTCCCTGTCTGAAAAACATTAATAGCTCCAAATATGCTTTTTGGATCACACAGAGATGTCATAAACAAACATGAGCAGAGCACAAATTCACAAATCAAGACTTGTGTCTCCTGGTATTGTACTGATACTTAAGCCATTAAAAAAATAGATCAGTTTTCATCAATTGCAGCATAGTAATGCAGACAGTTCCTCGTAAAAAAGAAGTAAACTTTAACATACTTTTACTTATATGTACTTATCACAGAAATACTTTACATTCAGTTTGCACTTGCACATGTTCTTTTATTGCATATTGCTATTTTGACCCACTTAAGTAGGCCTTAAGTGCATCTTTATATACGATTTCATAATTCTACTGTCTTTGAAATATGGTTAAAGTGTTACTTACTGCTAAATGTACTAACAAGCATTTATGGTAAACTAAAATGTGCTTTATTGTCCTATTGTTCTATTGAAATGTGTATGCCATGTATTTAAATGTAAATATATATTACACATTTGTAATGATGAAGTTGCAATTTAGTACATTTAAATTGTTAACTAGAAATCTATTTTTGAATATCATTACGATAAGTACAACTTTTAATTTAGCATGATCACAAAGTGCACCTTTTAAAAGTGTACTTAAGTGTCATGAATGTGTCTCTTTATGTACACTTAAATGGCCTTTTATGTTATTAATATTATATTATGTCAATTACTTTTTTTTTTAAATATGCTTGTAGGATTTGAAATACTGCTAGTGCACAAAATCAGATTGGGTGTAATGTGAACAAAGCCATGCAGTAGATGGGCGTACCTTGCCTCTTTCCTGTTGCAGTTCATTTTGCAAGTCACTCAATCGGCTCCTCAGCTCTTCATTGGCTGTCTGTAGAGTTTCTATTTCCTGTTTTCCTCTGCTCTTTTTGGGAGGCGGGGCCGAGGTGGGCGTAGTTGCAGCCATCCTCCCCAAATGATGATTTACCAGTCAAATCCACACTTCCACAGCCAAATCTCACTCTAAACCTTTTGTAACACTGGAAATCGACCACACCGTCACCGGCATCTTCCTCTTCTCCTGCTGGACACAGAAAGGGTCGGTCAAAATCCAAAGTGACTGCACACACAGTTGTTCCACTCAGTAAGAGCGAGGGTGTTGCCCTATGTCCTTACACATGCTCACAGACTACAGTCAACACAAACAATCTTACACACACTGATCTGAACACTCACATGTGCCATTTGTTCACTGGAATTTGGCTCCAACGTATTTTGCATGTTTCTGCCTCCATCTAGTGGTGTCTCAAGGTATTACGTGACAATAGATGCAACAATCACTATGTGGCCAAAAATAGTGCTCAACCAACCACTGTGTATTGTTGTAGCTGTTGCTGTTGTTGTGTGTGTGTGTGTGTGTGTGTCATGAAAGTGTCTCTTTAAGTACACTTAAATGGCCTTTTATGTTATTAATATTATATTATCTTCAATTACAATTTTTTTTTTAAATATAGTTTTAGGATGGCTGCAGTTTTTTTTTTTTTCCCCGCTGGCCCAGTTAGGCCCATAGTTCAGACTGCCCTGCTAGTGCCCTGCTAGTGTTTTAACTGGCCCCATCTTTCAAAAGGAGCTAGTATGTACCATTTATGTAATAATAAGGTACTAATGGCCCTTTAGGCCAAAAAAAACGTACCACCCGTGCAACAGCTTTTGTATATACACTGTATATATATATATATATAGTTCATATACCACATACGCTTGCAATCAAAATGATTACAAAATTATATATTGTAATACTTTTCAAATGTAAGTTTTTCTGAAGATCCAGAGGTTTTTTTTTTTTTTTATGTGCATCTACAACAGCTTTATGGCATATTAAAGGTGATAATGTAACATTTTTGAGTTACGTGCTAAAACTCAAGTAAGTCTTTGTAAACTAAACAAATTTAGCCCGTGAATGAGCTAAAGCTGAGTGGCAAATATGGCCAAGTCAAAAGAGCTCTCACAAAAGCTATAGAGAATAAACTGTTTTATTAAATTGGACAGTCTGTGGCGACAAGAAGAAACCTAGAGACACAGCTAGCAGCTTTATGCATAACTTTAAAAGGTGTACCAGAAAATCTTTGAGGGCATTGAAGAAAAAGCACAATATCATCAAGAGGAATAAAATGTTTTATCAGAATAACTGTAAAAAAAAAAACTCAATTTACTTCCAAAGACTTGCAAGATGACCTGACGAAAGGAGGAAGCAACATTTCAATGTAGAGTATAAGAAGAACACTAAACGAGCTTGGCCTTCATGTCAGGACAACCTGCCAAATGCAACTTTTGACCAAGAAGAACATACAAGGCTGGCTTGAATATGCTCAAATTAATTTGGATAGACCTCTGGAGTTCTGGAAGAATGTTTTATGGAGTGATGTGACACAACTGAAACTTTGTGAACCCGTGGATCAGCGGTATACCTGCAAGAAACGCAAAACTTATGAGCAGAAGAACACCATTTCCATAGTCAAACATGGAGTTGGACCATTCTTGTTATGGGGGTGTTTTGCTGTTGCGAGAAGTGAAAAATCTTGACCGTATGAAGGAGATCATGGATTTTTTTAAGTATCAGGCCATTTTGGCAGAGATTGTGATGTCTTCGTTGCAGAGACTGAAACTTGATTATCAATGGACTTTCCTGCAGGACAGCCATCCCAAAGTATACATCCAAATCTCGGTTCAGTGATCGGTCGTAGAATGTTCTTATATGGCCTTTTCAGTCTTTACGTTTAAATCTTTTTCAAAATATTTGGTGCAATTTGAAGAAAGCAGTGGCAATGAAAAAGATACAGATTATCAGTGATCTGGAAGCTTTTTCAATGGGCCAAGATTGTAGTAGAGAGGTGACAGAAGTTTCTGAGCACTTACAGACAGCGTTTATTAAAGGTTATAAAGAATAAAAGATTCTGCACAAAATTTGTGGGTTGAATCATTATGTACACAGATCTTTAGAGCCAATTAATCATTTTTCATCAACTTTACATTCTCAAATGTTCTCAAATCAAATGTATTAATAAACGTCCTATAATAGTTTACTGATGGCTTTGTTTATCTGTTTTCATCGAATTTTGTTCTCGCAGAAAAATGTCTTGCAGGTCAAGGGGGTTGAATAATTTTGATTGCAACTATATGCAATTACGTTTTTTAAAATAATATTTAAACAATATTAAATTGTAACTTTATGGCCACTATACATTCATGAACACACTGAGCTACTTTAAATAAGTTCACATTTGTGACATATTTTAAAAAGCAATATTTGCTTCAACACTGGAGGAAATTAAATAGCACATTTAGCTAATACTAGCACTGCATCAAAAAAAAAAAAAAGTATGCCAGAAACAGAGCATCAGGTTAGGAGAACTTTTTAAACTCCTTTATAAGCCATTGGGTTAGAAAAGAATAGCCATATGATATGTAGCGTCTGGACCAATCAGACACACCATTTTTCATTTGATTTAACAAATCAATTATTCATTAGATTAACAAACGTTCACAGACCCCTCACCCAATAAACATACTGGGTGCCAAGTTGTCTGTGAACAAGGCCCAGGACCCTGGTTACCATGGCAACCCTGACACCAGATACATTTACGACCTAATGGAATGCGAAGCAGGGAAAATCACTGCATGTTCCATAGCAAGAGGCAAATGCACAGTAGAAATGGACTTTTCTACTAATTAATTCATAGGAAAACCTTTCTTTGAATGAACACACATATCCTTCAGGTCATTGTGTATGTTGTCTTTGAGATTTTATACTGTTTTATGCAGGCTTATGATGGAAACACTCATTCCTGTCATCTTACCTATATGTAATCCTACCATGTTAAGTATCTATGAATTCGCCTTCTGATGATCTAAACGAGAGTGTATATTATATGTTGGTACATAGGCAATATATTAGTGTCCTGAGAATCTTTAGTAATTTCGATTCAAGTTCCATATGCAAATTACCATGCTTTCACACAAAGGGTCATAAAAATCCCCAGTATGTCCAACCCCCTGCTTGGGACGTCAGCCTTTCTCATTGGACAAGCCCAGTTTGAGAGGCGGGAATCTTCTGAGACATTAAAGGCCCCACACCAGGGACCCGCCCAGAGTCGGTGGTCCTGTTAGGTTTTGAGAAGATGTGAGCTACAACGCTCCAGGACATCCTAAGTTTTGTGCCAGGCCTTCGGCCTTGACTTTTCCATTCACCAAGATTCTCTGACGCAAACTGGTTCTTTTTCATCAACCAACTTCAGCAAAGATCAACTTGAACTTTTGGACTGCATCAAGCCTTTCTTTCAGACAGACGAGACGTGCAAGTATTCAAACTTAGTCTTATTAATTGATACATTAGGTATCATTTGCACCTTTTTACAAAGGTGTGTTTGAACTAAGAATCTGATGTTTCCTTCAGGCGGTAGATCTGCTGAATATGCAAATGGTTCCATAACTTCATATTCTTATTTTCTCTTCTCTCTACTGCGTTAACCTTTAACCCTTTCCCATACCAACTGTATGTGTGTGTGTGTGTGTATGTGTATGTTAGACCAGTTTAAGTGTTTATGTAGTATGTTAGACTAGTTTAAGTGTTTATGTAGTTAATAAAATCTTACTTGTATCACACTTGACGTTGTTCATTGTTTGCTCATAACTGGAGTCACTTAATCATGCAGATTTATGCTACAAGCTCTGTGTAGAGTTGTACAGTAAGAAAGTTATTTCCCTTAACCAGGAAATTAACGTTCTTAGAATTGAAAGACAGTTGACCCTGAGAGGTGTAGCGAATCAGCTCATGGGGAAATATGAATAATTAATCATAACTAGTTATAATTAATTATAAATATTTAGATCCGCTGTAGATATTTACTTGACCTCTCAAAGTCAACTGTCTGTCAATTCTAAGAACGTTAATTTCCTGGTTAAGGGAAATAACTTTCTTACTGTACAACTCTACACAGAGCCTGTAGCATAAATCTGCAGTTATGAGCAAACAATGACCAACGTCAAGTGTGATACAAGTAAGACTTTATTAACTACATAAACACTTAAACTAGTCCAACATACTACATAAACAATTAAACTGGTCTAACATACACATAAACACACACACACACACGCATACAGTTGGTATAGGAAAAGGGTTAAAGCTTAAGCAGTAAAGAGGAGAGAAATAAGGAATGAAGTTATGGAACCATTTGCATATTCAGCAGATCTACACCTGAGGGAAACATCAGATTCTTAGTTCAAACGCACCTTTGTAAAAAGGCGCAAATGATACCTAATGTATCAATTAATAAGACGAAGTTTGAATACTTGCATGTCTCGTCTGTCTGAAAGA